TCAGGGCCCTCCACATTCCCCTGGTTCTTCCATCCAGCGTCTCCATCTCCATACACCTGCTGCGCCCGAGCTCCTGCCCATCCCCTGCGTATTGTCCACCTGTGAAGGATGTGGAAGATGCCAGGACTGTTTTACAAACACTTCATGTATTAGCTGTGTCAGACCTGCTTCCTGTCCAGCCCCGGCTCCACCCCTTGGCTGCTCCACTCCAGCCCTATTCCCTGCCTGCCTTGAACCCCAGGCTCTTACCCTTGGCTGGCCTCCCGACCGCACCTCCGCTTCTGCCGTCCAGCTCTGCTTTGACCACTAGGCCAGACTCTTGCTTTGACCACGAGGTTGCACCACCTACACCTCGGTGTGGGACACCCAGCCCCAGAAGTGGGGAGTGGGGTCTGGGTAAGGGAAGCCTCCCTAAGTGTTAGCTGAGACAGAGGCGTGTGAACAGTTGGGTGGGTTAGATCCCTTTGCTTCTTAGGCTTTGGGCCCCTCTGTTGACATTAAACGAGCTGGCGTTTGGAAAAGGCTGGTGTCTGTTCCTGTATTCACACACTGGCCTCAGCTCCCGGAGGTGAGCATGGCAGGGCCAGGCCCAGTCCCAGCTGCAGGAGGAATCACCGCTGGGGACTATAGCTATTTCCCTGGTCTGTGACTGGGCTCATGGGGAAATTCCTCCTCAGGGGTGTGAAGGCTTGAGGCCTAAATCTTGGGAACGGAGACATAGAGGAGGCCAAGGTGCAGCTGGCGCTGAGCTGTGACGTCATCCTGGGTGGCGACGCCTTCGTGTCCATCTGCAGGGAGAAGAGCCGTGAAGACCGTCCTGTCCTAGCTGAGAATCATGAACTTCAGAAACACGAAACTCAGGCTGAGGGATCTCCTGGAAATCAGTCCAGACAGCGTGAAGGACTCGACTCCTTATGCCTGGGGAGACTTGCCTAGGCACTTCCTGCGAAAGCTCATGTAAGAAACACCCAAAATAGGAAAATCTATTTTTTCCACCTGCTTTTGAAAAGGAAAACCAGTGGAAATTGCAACTGAAGGCTGGAGGGGCCGGCTTGGAGCACAGGAACCGGAGCCAGGTTATTTATTGACTGATGTTGATGGGGTCAGGGTTGGATTCTGATCTCAGTGATCCCACTGTAAACCAATTTCTATGTCCTCCTGAAAACTAGCTACATGTTGTACGTTCTATCTATCTATTTCCTTGCATACAGAGCTTCCCAATGCTCTGGGCTGGAACGGACTCTTGCCCGGGATGGGGGGTGATGGTTCTTTCCCACTACATGCGCCCTGCAGCAGGGGCTCCGGATCTAAACGCCCTGCCCCACCCTCCCCCTCTTCCCCCTACCGTGGGGCGTTGTTTCCTGTCACATTCTGAGCCGCCTTCAGTCCGAACCAGGCCCCTCCCTTCCTGGCCACATCTTCCTGAAACTTAAGACTGTAACTCATTTGTATGTGTCTATATTTACCTGCTTTAACTGTGTAGTTAACTCTTATTTAATAAGAGATAAATAGATAATTTGAGATAGTTTATTACAGGATTGGTTTGAAATACAAACAGTACAGAGCCAACATTCATAACTTCAAGTACAAAAATGATACACACATACAGATAGCATAATTATAACCAGCCAATCATAACCTTCCCATAGAGAGCTCACATGACAACCTTTGTACAATATTTGCTGCAAATATATGACAGTGGTTGCAACAGTGATCTATATGGTTACAGACTCTGTCAATAACGTCCCAATGACCAGTTAGATCGGAGTACCCGAGGGGACTGTCTGGGACTCCATGTTAAGGCTGTTACAGTGGCTGAGGAGCTTATACTTGGCACTTGATTGGTAAAATCTAAGCATAGGACTCACAGTCAAATGGATGACTAGTGAACCCCCTCCCCCCCTTTGGGGAGGCTAGCCTGCTTCCTCCCACTCCTTCTGCCCGAGGCCCTGCCCTCCACCCGCTGGAGCCCCAAGAATAAACTGAAAAATGTTGGAAGGGGTTTTGGGGTTTTCTAACGTCCCTCCTCCGTTTGTATCATTTTTCAAATCAGTGGGAAATGGGGGCGGGGGGGGACCAAAATTGTCCACTTCACACACTTGTTCAGGTGGGAAGAAAATGTGAAAAAAACCCAATTGCAAAATATAAGAATCAATTCCCCCCCCGCCCCCGTTTTTGAAAATGAAAACCAAATGAAACTTGCAGCGGAGGGATGCAGGGGCCGGCTCAGAGCACAGGAGCCAGGGCAGGGTTATTTATCAACTGACATCAATGGGGTCAGGGCTGGATTCTGATCTCGGTGACTCCACTGCAAATCAATCAATCTCGGTGTCCTTTTGCAATCTACCTACCTGCTGTAAGTTCTTTCTATCTATTCCCATAAATCTAGCTATCTGTCCCCATCCACCCCATCTATCTATCTATCTGTCTATCTATAAGCAGTCAGAATGAGCTCTACCCTGACATCTGGTAGTGAGTTGTGGAAAAGAACTTCAGGGGCTGATCTAGTTTGCATGGGCACACCCACCCTGCTTGCCCAAATGGTCACTTTGGCTACTGTGGGACCCCCAGTCTCTTTGCTATTGGGGCAGGAGTACTAAAGTGTTGTTATCCTGGTTATGTGAATCAAGGACAGTAGAACTGTACTTGACATTTTATGACGGAGGAACTCGCCCTTAACCAAGTAGTACTCGCTAAGCAAGGGACATGGGTTCCAAAGCCCTGTGAATTGAGAGAGTCTGGGGATAGATGTGTGTCTGTGGGTCTCTTCTAGGGCATGAAACAGAATTTTGATCTCTCTCTCTATGGTATAATAGCAGAATTAATTTTGATTCTGTTAGGAGTCTTGTTATGTACTGTAGAGCTGAGATTACTGATTCCTAGGTCTAAGGGTTAGTCCTACTTTGAGCTAGTGGTTCTGAGTGTGCTAGCACTGAGGCTCCCCTACTAACAGCTGAAATCACAGAGAGCTGTGTTAAGTGGAGGGGGAGTCTGAAGACATGTTGGCGAGTGGCTGGTGGAGAGGAGCGGCTAGCAGGACAGTTGGCGGAGAGGAGTGGCTGGCGGTGAACACTGCAGCAGAACCCCATGGAGAGGCGTGGCAATCAGCCGTGGACCTGAGTAGTGGAGCATGTAACGTGCTCCCATACCTCCACCCCCTTCCACTCAGGCTGGGAGGTAAACACTGCAGATGAACTTCTGAACTCTGGAACTGCACTGACCAAGGACAGAAACTGCGGGACGGGTGACTGTTGGGTTGCTGGACTTAAGACCCTGAGGGGAAAAGGACACTTCCAAACTTACTTGGGGGTAGGTCTTTTGCTCATGGTTTGTGTTATGAATCCTGTCTGTGGTGTTTCCCCACACAATGCCATATTATTTCCCTCCTTTATTAAAAGGCTTTTGCTACACTCAGACTCTGTGCTTGCGAGAGGGTTAGTATTGCCCGCGGGGTGGTATGTAATTGTCCCAGGTCACTGGGTGGGGACTGAAGCCGGTTTTGCATTGTGTTATTGAAACGGAACCCCTAGATCCTGAACCCGGCCCTTGTTCCTGCTAATGCTGAAGGGCAGAAGGGTTATCTATCTATCTATCTATCCCCATCTACCCCCCTCTATCTATCTATCTATCTATCCCAATCCACCCCATCTATCTAATCTATCTATATATCCCCATCCACCCCATCTATCTAATCTATCTATCTATCCCCATCGACCCCCTCTATCTATCTATCTATCCCCATCCTTTGCATACAGAGGTTCCCAGTGCTGAGGGCTGGGACAGAGTCTTGCACGGGGTGGGGTGTGATGGTTCTTCCCCACTATCTGTCACCCCGCAGCAGGGGCTCCTGATCTGAAGACCCTGCCCCTCATCCCCCTGCCCTGGGGCATTGGTGCCTGTTGTATTCTAAAACCAAATTAGCCCCACACCCATCTTCCCACCATCCTCCTGATCAGGACAAGGCCCCCCGCTCCGACCTTGACCACCAAACTTGGGCTGATGCCCGCCACAACACCCGCACCCACCAAAGCCAGGACACTCCCTCCAATGTACAGGCCCAACCGCACGGCCTTCTCTTTAAAGCGCTGTCCGTAGGCCGTTAGGAACTTGGACGTCTTCCCGGCCAGCCCCTGCTCCAGCACCTTCAGGGCAGCCTGTTTCTGGGGGTCCTCGCCCCACAGCTGCCCCTGGCAATGCTTCAGCAGCTCCCTGCGTTTCCCCTCCAGCCGTCTCTTCATCTCCTCAGGCTTCACCCTCAGGCAGCAGTTTATATTCTGGTGGCCACGGTCCTGCCCGAAGCGGGGAGAGATGGGCCATTAGGGATGGGTATTAGTGTTACCCAGCCACAGGGGGTGCCGCTGACTCATACACCCGCAGCCCCTCCAACCCACAGCCCCCTGCTATCCCAGCCCTGCTCCCCCGAGCTCTGCCGGTGCCCCTCACTCCCGACTCCCAGCCCCTCTGCGCTCACCAGCTCCTGCACAAATTGTTCATATTCTCTCCTGGCGGCTTCTACTGCTTTGCTGTTTTTCTCCTTTCTCATCGCTGCAAATGCTTCAGCCATCTGTGGGGGGCGAGGGGACAGGGTGGGGGTTGGGATGGGACCATCTCTGAACTAGGAGCCCCCCTCACCACCTTCTCCCCCCATTCTTCCAGGACCCTGCTCCCCGCTTTCACCTCCCCACTGGCCCCCAACCCCCCACATTCCCTCAGAGCCAGGAGGCAGCCCCCCAATGACTCCACAGCTATGGCCACGTTGCTGCCACCCTAGTAGAGAGGGCCAGTTCTCTGGTGCAGCTCCCTGGGGGTCCCTTTACTTCTTGGGAGCTGGAGGTTCCCCATCAGGACAGTTGGGGCAGCTGTTGTGGTGCCCCCCCTCCTGGCCTAGTGCGATTGGCCAATGGGAGGAGGACCTGGGGTGAGGGGTCAATAGAACTAGTGCCCCCCTCCCCTGCAAATCAGAGGGGTTGAGGGAGGGGCAACCTGGTACCTTCACGGGGGAGGAGAAGTCGTAGCGTTGGGTCTTCAAGTATCGGGAGACGTCCTGTGGGGAATAATGCCTGGGGGAACTGGGATCAGGGACAGCTCAGCCCACTCCTTGGCGAGCCCCCCACCCCGCTCCCTCCAGCACAGCGCCCCCTACTGTGTCCCCCTCCCCACTCCCTGCAGCACAGCGCCCCCACTGGTCCCCCTGACCACCCCGTCCTGCATGGCACCCCCTGCTGAGCCCACACCCTGCAGCACGGCACCTATTTCTGAGTCTCCGCTCACCTCCTTGCGGCCCCTTTTGCTGTCTCCCATCCAGGCCCCCCCCCTTTTAGCAGACCCCACTCTCCCACCTTGATCCTGGCAGCCAGCTGAGCCCCCGTCAGCACCTGCCCGGCTCGGTCCGTCCGGACGTGTGTCCCTGCTGAGCGCACCTCGCTGGTGACATAGTCACACAGGGACTGCCGGAAATCCTCGTCCATGTCTGCAGGGGGGAAAGGACCTAGGCATCCGGGAGGCATCCAGGTGCCCAGGACAGGACACAAGTTAAATGGGGGATGTAGAGGGCAGGTTTGTGCCACAGTAAATGAGATTCCATCTCTGGGCAACAGCTGCTTAGCTCCCTCCCACACCCCACTGCCAGGGGGAAAATGGGGGAGCAGTGGGGGTGGGGGTGAGTAACAGGGAGAGGCTGCAGTGTGTGTGTGGGGGTGACAGGGGACCTATTAAGAGGAGGGAACCAGCTGTGTCCCCCACAGGAGACCAGGACCCCAGCAGTGTCCCCTCATGTCCCCCTCCCTTCCCGCACAGATCCCGTGACCTAGTGACAGCCCCTGTGCATTGGGCAGGAGAGCCCATTCTAAGCCAAGGAGAGTGAGCTGGGCACTGGGATTATGGGGTGGGGGCAGGGCAGGAGGGGAAGATGGGGGCAGGGATGTGGGTAGGGGCAGTGCAGAAGAGGGGAGAGGGAGGCTGGGGGTGTAACCCAGGGGGAAGAGGGGTCTCTTACCACCTGGCGTCCCTGCCCTGCTCTTGGTGAACCCAGTGCCAGGGTGGGGCAGTAGGTAGCACCAGGTCCCTCTCGCCCTCAGGGCTCCCAACACCAGGGGCTGCTCAGAAGAGGCTGCCAGGTCCTGCAGGAGTTAAACCGACATTTGTGACCATCAGCGAGAAATCAGACCCACCATGGAAACGTTCAGCTCCGGCCCACAGCCGGAGTTTGTTGTTTCCATGAACACACGTGGTGCCCGGCTTTGGTCATTACCTGTGTGATGTCTTTGAGATACTCCTGTCCCGCTTCTGCGCCGTAGGCTTCGGAGAGCTGCCAATCTCGCACCAACAGGTCCAGTCCCTGCAACAGAGAGCGCAGGAGAAGGGTCACACTGGGGCTGGGAGCACAGAGAGGAGACCAGAGCTGGAGGCTGCTGCCGAACCCAGCCACCGACACCGAGATCCTGGGCATGATGTGAGCGTGGAGGGAGAATAATGGGAGCAGGGACTGGCGGTTTGTTCGGGGTTTGACCAGCGCCTGGCACAATGGGGTTCTGGTCTAGGAAGGGGGGGGGGGGTCTGAGGTGCTCTTGCAATAGAGACATTGAATAATAAGAATCAGGTGGGGGTGATGGAGTGGGGGGTGGAACCAGCATTGGGTTGATGGGAAACGAGGACTCACCTGGATTGGGGGCAGACTGCAGGTCTCTCCGACCTCCTTCGCAACATGAACGAACATCTGCGATGCAGCGAGAGAGAGACAAGGAATTTTTTTTCCATCTTGAACAAAAGATCCCCCCACAGGTGACTCAAGGTGATCCATCAAGATAGGTGGTGCAAAATAAACCCGTGACATAAAGGTCATTGAAACTAAATAAAACCCAAACAACGTTAAGTGAAAACTAATAATTGAAGAGAGAAAATTGATGAAATGAGAGAAAAACATAGTTTCAAATGCTGATAACTCAACACTAGTAATCACAGATTATTAGTTATTCCAATCACTAGTTATTATAAAAACAATAACTAAACTCAGAAAAGCCAATTGATGATTGTAGAAAAGCAGTCATTGAAGACACAGAAAGCCAGTCATGGAACTCAGCAAACCAATAACTAGAGTCAGAAAAGAAATAATCAAAGGCAGAAAAGTAGTCATTGAAATCAGAAAACAAGTTACTGAAACCAGAAAAGCAGTGAAAGAAATCAATCAATGAACTAATCATTAATATCTAAAACCAATGGTCAAAAACAGGAAACCACTAATCATAGTCATCAAAGCTAGAAAACCAGTAATCAAAGTAAGCTATTGGGAAACAGAGTCTGAAAATCAACAATAATAAAAAATAGCATTTGAAGTCAAGAAAACCAATAGTCAAAGAGTCTAAACCAGAAATAGAAGTCAGAAAACCAGATCTAGAAGCCAAGAAAACCAAAAGTCAAAGACAGAAAACCAGGAATCAATATCAGAATACCAATTACTGAATGCAGAAGCCCTCAGTAATCAACGCCAGAAAAGTACTAATTGAAATCAGAAAACCAATAGCCCAAACAGAAAACCAGTAATTGAAGTATGAAAACCAGATCAAGGTCACAAAACCTAGTCAAAATTAGACAATGAATAGTCAAAGGCAGAAAACCAATAGTGAAAAGGAGCAATAAGTGAATAGCAGAACTGAAAAAAAATATTTAAACACCCTAAATTTATAAAGAAAACGAAAAGCTGATAATCAGTAGAGAGACCATAATAAATGAAGCTGAAAAAACATACAGTGAAATCTTGTAATTAATACACAAGAGCAGAAAACCAATAACGAACAGCCCTGAAATGAAGAACAAAATCTGATATGGTAGATATGTAAAGTGATCATTAGAGCCACAAAACTGACAAGCCTGGACCAAAACACGATAAACAAGAACTGAAAACCAAAGACGGAAAACTGAAGATTGAAACCTGAGAAACAATGATAGCTCCCTAAAAATGTGAAGACAGACACCCAAGAGATACTAAAATTTGGCTGTTCTTTGAAAATGGAAATTTGCATGAAAAGATTCTGAATGGAAAACTTTTATTTTCCATTTCTCCACACTGTCACTATGAAATAATCTGACAGCTAATGGTGGGTACTAAATAACCAACAGCTGGCAGCCAATAGTGACTAACAAGTAACCAATAATTGGCAGCTATTAATGAAGATAAAATTACCAATTATAGAAGTTAATTGGCCAAGTGAAGTAAAAGGCTTAACACACAACTCAATGGCATTTCTCTTTGTCTGTCTGTATCGTGATAACTTTTTGAGACCACATATGATCATAGGATCTTTGTGTCCCTGACCACCGGGCAGCACTAGAGCGAGAAGACGGATTCCAAGAAGTCATGGCGGAGATTGGTAGATTCCCAGGCCAGGAGGGACCAAGGCTGAGCTCCTGGATAACGCAGGCCAGAGAATTGCACCCAGTTAATTCCTGTTTGAACGAGAGCAGATCTCTTAGAAACACATCCCACCTCGAGGGAGAATCCACCGCACTCCTTGGTACATTGTTCCCATGGTTAATTCCCCTCCCTGGTAAACACGGATATCTTCTTTCCAGGCTGAATGTGTCCAGCTTCAACTTCCAACCATGTGGTCACGTTAGAGCTTTCTCTGCTAGCCTGAAGAGCCCATTATTAAATATTTGATCCCCGTGTAGGTGCTTCTAGACTGGAGTCGAGTCACCCCGGGAGGTGGGAGCTTCTCTTTGCAAAGCTAAATAGCTTGAGCTCCTGGGGTCTATCACTCCAGGCCACGTTTTGTAATCCTTTAACCATTCGCGTGGCCCCCCTCTGCCCCCTCTCCAATATATTCACATCCTTCTTGAACTGCACTGGAACTGGACACAGGACCCCAGCAGCGGTCGCACCAGTGCCAAATCCAGAGATAAACTGACCTCTGCTTCTACACGCAATTCCCCTGTTTGGGCATCCTTAGCGCCTTTGGCCACACTGTCGCACGGGGGCTCACTTCCAGCTGATTATCCCCCATGGCCCCCTGCACTCTGTCAGCGTCTCTGCGTCCCTGGAGAGACACCCACCCCCCCATCCCTCCGCCGGGCTGGGAGCATGGCCGACGCTCTTTGGCCGTATCACAGCACGTGCTGTTGGCTTGCGCCCAGCCTACCCTAGCGCTGGGGCTGTTGGTGACACTGGGCTGTTCTCTGCTGCCTACAGCCTGGCAGATGCCGTGTGCGAGGGGTTAATCACTGGCAGTGCCACGCCCGGCAGGGGCACAAGCCTCTGAGAGGAGTTTGATCTCAGTCAGACTCGCTGCCGAGGACAGCTGGGGAGACACAGGGGCTGCTGGAGCCCGAGTCCGGGAGGCACCGAGCTCGGCCTTAGGAAAGGCCACGTTCAGGGCCTAACAAGGAAACAGCTTCCTTCCCATCATGCAGTGAGTTGGGTGCTGACTGGCCGAGCTTTCCTCCAGCTGGCGTGAGAGCAAATTCACCCTCTTACCCCCACAGAGCCCTGGGCATTGGGTGGGGGAAACTGAGGCACAGAAAAGGGAAAGAACATGCCCTGGCCTCACCCTACTCCCCCAGCGCTGGGCTCTGGTCCCGGAGCACCAAAGTCTCCTCTTTTTCTGCTGGAGACTCCCCAGTTTCCCACCCTGGGATCCCTCCCAGCCACCGATGTGCCCCAAAGGGGACCGGCTCTATCTGTCCTACCATCAGTGATGTCTCCTGAGCAAGCACCAGGGCCGGCCCAATTCGTTTTTTCATCCTAAGTGGACTCCCCCCGTCAAGATAGAAAATGGGAATTTTGTTTCCCTGCCTCTTTGGACATAATCTATCAGGATTTCATCCACTGAAAAGTTGCCAGATTCACAGGGCAGTTGGGGTTTTCCTGCAATCCCCAGCTGCTGGAGGCATGGGATTGCTGCGCTGTGATAAGGCAAAGCAGTGCGCATCACAGGCACAAACTAACCCACGGAAAGAGCTAGCTCCCTCGATGTTCACCCCCCCAATAAAAAAGAGGGGTTCGATATATTTGCTTGCTGGTCTTTGGAGCCCCTTTTCCAGCTTCTCCCTCCAGTGGCAAGGGCTGGAAAAGCGGCTCCAAAGACGGGCAAGCAAATATATAGAACCCCTCTTTTGTGTGTGTGTGTGTGGGGGGGTGAACATCTGAGGGGCCGGCTCTCCTTCCATAGATTAGCTTGTGCCTGTAAATGTCCCGATCGCGGCTAACGCAAGACAAGCCACTGTTCTGGGGGATTCCACGTGCCCAAGGGTTTGCCCTGATTTTAGCTGGTTGAACTGGTCAGAGTTTGACAGTGTTTCAAATCACGCCATGAGCCAGACCCAGCATTGGGGGTAGATTAGCCACTGTCTGAGCCTATCTTTCTGCTGGACAGAGGGCTAGGTCCGAACTGCCCCTGTCCCACCCCCCCACCCCCAGCT